TGGGGCCCCCTCCACCCACGGGGGCGCCGGCGGGCCGTGGACGGCATCTCTTCCTGGTGCAGCCAACGGCTGTGGCTGGTCCGCCACAGGAGCTTCCCCGGCAGGTCCTTCTCCTACGGGCTCCACCCCAGAATGAGCTGGTCTCCCTCCCTTTATACTCTATAGCACTTGGAGCATGCCCAGTCCTCCCAGGAAGGCGGGACTCCCGCTGCCAGTCCCTGGGGCTTAACTCCTTCCAGGTTAAGGCGGGGTAGACTGGCCCCGCCACACACCCTCCCCCTTAAGAAGGACCGTCCCCGGGGCCGGTCCGTCTCCCCATCCTCCTTTCCCTGTCTAGAAAAGAAATCCACGTTAGCATGCACCTTACCCAGACGATAAAAAACGCAGAAGTCGTATGGTTGGAGCAACAGGTACCAGCGCATGATTCGGGGGTTTGCGTCCTTCATGCTGTGTATCCATCTGAGGGGGGCATGGTCGGTGATCAATTTGAAGGTATTCCCCAGTAAATAATAGCGCAGGGCATCAATGGCCCATTTCGCCGCCAGGGCCTCTTTCTCTATTGTTGCGTAGTGTTGTTCTCGAGGGAGTAGTTTCCGGCTTAGATACAGTACTGGGTGTTCCTCCCCCTCCCATTCCTGGGAGAGGACCGCTCCTAAGCCTACCTCTGAGGCATCCGTTTGGAGTATGAACTCCTTTGAAAAATCAGGGTGTCACAGGACCGGTTCATGCACAAGTCGATCTTTCAGCGTCCTGAAGGCCTTGTCACACAGGTCGGACCATTGTACCTGTTGTGGCTGGGAGTTTTTGTCAGGTCCGATAGAGGTGCAGCTATGGACGCGAAGTTGGGTACAAAGCGACGATAGTACCCGGCTAGTCCCAAGAACTGGCGTACCTGTTTCTTCGTCGTGGGCGAAGCTGTGTCCATAAGGGCTTGTACCTTATTGATTTGGGGGCGCAACTTCCCTCCCCCTATGACATACCCAAGGTAGGTCACCTCTTCCTGGCCGAGATGGCATTTCGCCGGATTGGCCGTGAACCAAGCTGCTCAGAGGGCCTGGAGGACTCCCCTGAGGTGTCGAAGGTGGTCCTTCCAGCTGCGACTGTAGATCACAATGTCATCTATATACGCCGTGGCATATTGATCGTGAGGCAGCAAGAGCTTATTCATCAGCCGCTGAAACATCGCTGTGGCACCGTGTAACCCGAATGGCATGGTTACAAAGTGGAAGAGGCCGAAGGGTGTTGGGAAGGCCGTTTTTTCTCGGGAATTGGGTGTAAGGGGGATTTGCCAGTATCATTTGGTTAAATCTAGGGTCGACAAATACCTCGCTCCCCCGAGTCGTTCTAGGAGTTCT